TGTTGTTAAAAAAGGGTCAAATCTATTAGAGATTAACTCCTCTTATGATTTTTCAGATTTATAAATCAGTGAAAAAATTATATTAAAAATTATATCAAAATAGAGATAGTTATATGATAAAAATTGTGCTTTTATTTAAAATTTATATTTTGGTAACATTAGAATGTAGAGAATTGAAAATGTAACAAATCTTTATGAAATTGTCCTCCTTATTTTTGGGTTCTAAACGAATTCAATTAAATCAAATACATTGAGCTAAGTTTATTTAGTTCTTATTGGGCTCTAAGCTCGAGCACATAATATGGATTTCTGCTTTAAATATAATAATTTAGATTTAATATAAACTCCATAAATTCAAGGTGGTATAGAAAACATCAACTTGAGTTTAAACAAAATAGACCAAAAAAAATGAAGTAATTGAAATTTTTTATAATCCATAAATTATGAGAGTCTTAAGAGAGGTGCGACTGAAACTATAAAAACAGAATCGTGTTAATCAACCGAGAAATATTGTCAATTAGATCATATTAGAGAATGAGTGTATAAGATCCATAAGCAAAAATATTGCCACAATTTCTTCATCTATTTGGGAATTCCTATTTCCCCGAAAAGACTTAAAACTTCTCACTTTCAACCACTTTTGAGTAGAGTTTCTACTCTACTTGCTGGTTGGAAAAACAAATTTCTGTCTTTTGTAGGTAGGGTCTAATTTCTTAAATTTACCATTTCTAATACAATTGCTTATTGGATTAGGGGATCTATCATATCTAAAGCTTATTGTGCTTCCATTAGCAAACTCTGTTCGAGATTCTTATTTCATACTAACCTTACTGAGAAAAAGTTGCATCTTATTTCTTGGTCTAAGGTTACTCTTCCTAAATGTCTTGGTGGGCTTGGTATTTCGTCAGTGGATGCTCTTTATCATGAAGTTTTTTGCTCTAGTATTGGAAGGTTTTTCAATTCCAATAATCTGTTAAGTGACTGGTATAAAGCTAAATTTATTTCACCGTGGAAATCCACTCCCCCCAATGCATCCAAATTCTAGAAAAAAATTTCTGCTACTGCTATTAAAATCAAAGATAATATCTCCTTTTCTGTGGCTAATGAAAGTAATCTTTCTATGCTTTGGGACCCTTGGCTGAATGGTACCGTGATTTCTGATGCCTGTATCATCCCGGTGTTTGGGGACAAATTGGTGAAAATTTCATTGTGAATGGTAATTGGCTTCTTCCCAATTCTATTCCAACTGCTATATCTGTTCATATTTCTAAGATAGAAATTAAAGAGAAGTCTGAGATTCTTTGGAAGGGCTCTCCAAAGATGGCTTTCAAAGACTTTACTACCCATTTTTATTCCCATTTGCCGAAGGTTGAGTGGCATACTTCTATTTGGCACAAAAAACATACCCTTAAATATGCTTGTTTTTCGTGGATGACGATTATTGGAAGCTTAAAATGGCTGATAATTTACTGCATAGGGGGATTCAGGTTTCTCTTGATTGCTCTTTTTGCCTTTGCAACACCGGGAACCATAACCACTTATTTTTTGCTTGTGTCTTTTCTTTTAATATCCTTAAGAGATTGCTGCTGGATTTTAACTGTTTTCTTCTACGGCCGACTATTTCTCAGATCTTTGATTTCATTGAGCACAATGTGGTATATAGCAGATTGGAAAAATACTTTTGCTGCTTAATTGTTAGTTGCATAATTTATCATATTTGGAGAGAAAAAAATAACCGTCGTTTCTCTAGTTTTAACACCAATTCAGTGAAAATTACATGCAATATCTCTTCTGCTATACGTTTTAAAATTTCTAAATGGAAAAACAAAGATTCTCTGCTGCTAAAATTTACTGGAATTTAATTTTCCTAGGTTTGCTCTATCTCTTGAGAAATTTCTGGTTTTTTTGGGTTCTCTGGAAGTATTCTGTTTGGCTGGATTTCAGCTATTTTTGGGAGTTGGTATTGTCTACTCTGGTTGCTGGTGTTTCAAACCTTTCATGGGAAGAAATTTTTGGAGGTTGCAGCTGTTATGCACCGTCTGCTTTTGTCAATTTGGGATTGATATCCACTGTTTTCAAACTCTGAAGAGCTGCAACAGCGTTTTTTGGCTTCTTGGCTGTTCTGGTAGATGGATTCTTGACAATCCGACAATTATGAGCAAGACCAGATCCTTCCATGCTAGCCATGGATGGCCATCATGGCAACCAGGCTTATACTATGGAAATTATGCCGTTGGCTGGAGGTTATGTGATGGCCTTATTTCCTTCAAATCTTCGTCCATTTTCCTCTAGCAACCTGAGCCGCCGCCTCGGCTGTGCGAGATTCATTCTGATCACTTTGATGACAGGGTTCGGGTCTTTTTTCTCTGAGTCTAATGTATTGTTTATTATCCTTGTTGCCTTTTTTGTTGGCAATTAGATAATGCTGTTTATGTAATTTTTGACTTTGTTTTCCCACGGGTTTACTTGTAATTGATTTTGTTTTTAATATATATGCTTTTTACGCCCGGGGTTTACCAAAAAAAAAAAAAAGATTGAATAAATAACATCCTCAAGCAAAAATATTAATAGAGAACATTCAACTGAGGTTTTAAAGGAGAGTAAAGTTTTATTTGAGACGAGTTTTTTATTGCTTTATAAATTAGTTATTTAGTACAAAATTTATTTTTTAAGTTTAAATTTTTTGTATTAAAAAACTGCTATCAAAGCAATAAAAAGTTGTCCCAAATAAAACTTAAATGAGGAGTATTGATAGATGCAAATGATAGAGCTGATTTAGCTGCCATGGCCAACTCCCAATGTTTGCTCCTAGGTTCTCACTGGCTCTGCCTTCCGTGACCTAAATTCGCTCCTGAACTTTGGCTAAAGGTAGGTAACCCATACCCTATTTATAATTTAAATTTCAAATTATATAACTAAAGATATGCTTTTGAAAGTATTTTTTTTTTTAAGTTTTAAAAGGGACTTTTAATATATTATTTTAATCTCTACTCTGGTTCGACTATAAGAATGTAAAATTTCACTAGTTGATTTGCTATGCATAAATTTTTATTTATTCTGGCAAATTGAAGCATTTCTGAACTTCAGTACAGTTGATAAAGTATGTTAATTTAGCATTTTACATAATCTTTTTGAATTTGGTAAATTTCTAAACACTTTGAGTTGGCAACTAAACTGTGGGGGTTTTTTATACAAGTTGGTAATTATTTTATTTACTTTTAAAAACTTTAATTGCACGTTGCATTTGTATTATCATGCATTTCATAATATTCTGGAGTTTCTAAATTGAAAATAAAATTATTCTGAAATTACCTGCTTGGGCCCAATGTGAAAATTCTCAATACTGGATTTTCTTTTTCTGACTCTAAATTGGTTATGTATTAAAAAAATTATTATGTTCTGATTCTGCTCAGCACTTGTCATAAACAGGTGGTAGGTGGAAGATTAGGAGTTATAAAGGGGTATAAGTAAACAATATTTTGCATTTTAAAGTGTATTTTGCATTCATATGTGCATCAATATATTTAGAACCTAATTAACATTTAAATAATATTTTTGTGGTTTTGTTTTAATTATATTTTGGTATGAATTAAAATTTTATTATGGAAAAATTGGTGTTGACCTACTCAGTTTATACTCATTCCATTGTTCATTATATTTTGTAGAAAAGGTAAATGTCCTGCTGAGTAAGCCCAATTAGATAGAGAGCATGAAAGCTAGACTAAAGCATTTATTTAGAATTTTAATTATAATTTTTTGTTTAAATTTAATTGAGTTTTGTTGAAAACATTGTAATATGGACTATTATAATTAAATATTTTGGGAAGAGAAGTTATAGTCTTAGATATTTATTTCATATATTCTTGATGATTAACTGGCTCTGTATACATTTCATTGGAAGAAAGAAATCTTAGAGATATACGAAAGTAGATTAAAATTTATCCTTTAGGTTACACCTAAGTGATCTTTACCACATATATTGTGCGTCTTTAATTGAGAATTGATTATTAATCAATGAAAAAAAATATAAGAAATTAAAAAATATTCATGGAAATAAAATCAAACTATTACATGCTTAAAATTTTGTTGAAATAAAGTATTTGATGCCTTAAATTTTTACAAAGATCTAACATGTACAAATAGAGGTTGTAAAAGACATCTTAATTTGTTAATTAATAGGTTCAATCACTCCGTAAACATCAATATGGACCCCAATCGGGGTTGTGAATTAAGTAAAATATCTTTAATTATAACTTCAGCTTTCCATAAAATTGTCAAGTTAATTTTTAGCAAAAACTATTAGAAAGTTATACTTTGAATTCTTCAAATTTGTGCAAAACTTATGTTATAGACTCTATTGGGCTCCAAAAGGAGACGGTGAGATCAATTTTATTCTATATAGATATTTAACATTTAAATTTTATTATTTCATAAGGGTTAAGGGCCTATTTAAGATCAATTTTTCTTTTATTTTTTTATTCCTTTTTTACTTATATTTATATATGAGATAAAATATATTAAATATCTTAAAAATTGTTGACTTTTTTTATTCATATGATGTGGATATGATCACTACTAACAGGGCAGTGAAAATGATCAACAAGTGATGATGATGGAAGGTAGTGATTGTTAGTGACAATAATGACATTGATGGCGGTTAAAGTGATGACAAATTTGTAAGTAAATTGTAATTTTGAACATGAAATGTTCAAATTGAATAATTTTTGAATTTATTTATGTAAATCTCATTAATAAAAAGAAATTTACGTACATGCTACTAGAATTTACGTTTTTAAACATGAAATATTAAAATTTTTAAGTTTATAAATATAACATAATAGTATCTAAATCATTAAAAGCGTATCTATAAAAATGGGTATGTCATTTTAAATAAATTAATATTAATAATATTTAATAATTATAAAAATAAATATAAATATTCTGATATTAGTAAAAACATAAGAATTTATAATCTAATTACAATTTACAACCAAACCCAAAGGGTATAATAGCCATATCATTTGCTACTTACAAATATTTTCATATAGACAATCTCCCTGACTTTAGGGTTTTTCGCCGCCAGCACTGGGATATTGGTTTCCTGCGTACCTTTCCCTTCTTACTTGGAACAGCAACAATGGCACCCACTAAGAAAACGGTAAAGTCATGAATTCATTTGGATCGTAATTGTTTTAATTCGGTTCTATCCCTTGATATCGATCATTCTCTGTTCTACTGTTGGTTATAGAAGAAAAGCACCGAGAGCATTAATAACAGGCTAGCTCTTGTGATGAAGAGCGGAAAGTACACTCTTGGCTACAAGACCGTTCTTAGATCCCTCAGGAACAATAAAGGTTGATGCTTTTGCCCTTTTTTATCCAATTTATTTTATCTTTTTCTGGTATCTGCTATTCGGTCTCTTGTTAGTTCTCTTTATACACTGAAGTGATGAATACTTGTACAATATTTCTTGTTTTTAAATGCAATTGCCTTACTTTGTTTTCCAAGTGTTAAAAACAACAATTATGTTCTTATATTGTTTCTTCATAGATTCTGGTTAAATTCAATATTTATTTTGTTTGGCTTATTACCTGATCACTACATTCTTTTGAATGAGCATTGTACTTATTTGTTGTGCATGTATTAAAAAACTTTAGGTTAACATTGGATTGCATTTTCAAGCCAACAAACTAAGTTTCTTGTAAAACTAAATTTGCCATCTCATGTACTTTGGTTGTCCTGTAACCTAGCTTATAATTTATTTCTAATTATTAAGTTATTCGCAAGAAGCCCTTTTTTCAGTAGTCATTAATTTGAAATTTTCATTTTAAAGATGCCATTGTGGTTAGAAACTACTACTACTACTAGTAGTGCACTTTAATATGCAAATGTGCTTTGAAAAAGTTCTTAAGCTATTGTTAAGTCAATTAAGCAAGGTTTTTCTTAATTTCTAACTGTAGAATGTTGCTTGTTGATATTTGAAGCTCACTTTATTGATCTTTTTGTTGTTTTATTCTCTTTTTTTTTGTTGAGATTTTGAATTTTTGATAGTTTGCATTCTTGAAATCTTCAAGCTTTTTTTTTTTTTTTGCTTAAGAGGGGTGCTCCAAATTTTTTTAATAATAAAGCTTATATCATGAATATGCAGAACATAATTTGAAGATTAAATAAAAAATTGTATACCTGGATTAGGAACCTGTAGCTTGAAAGGGCGACTATCCTGCAACAAAAATGCCATGAAATTGAATAGGAGTTCCCTTTATATTCATTACATGGATTACTAGAACTCTCCTTACTTAATAGGATTTATATTTGATATTTGAGAATATCGGCAATTGATGTATTAAAATCAATGAAGTTTATGTATCTCAAGTGTGGGGGGAATAAAACATAATGACTAGTAGTTAGATACATTTTTTGTATGTTTGAATTTGATTAATGATACAACTCCAAAAAATTCACAGTATCAACATAAATCTTGTGTAATATTTGAATTGAAAACTTTCAAAATTAAATTCATGATAATTCAAACTCCGATTTTGACAAACTAATTGTCAAACTGAACATCTCGGCAAGATGAACCTATCGATGCTACAAACGATTTGATTCCAATTGATCTCAATTCAATCACTTGAATTTTGTTTGAAAACTTTTGAACATGAATTCTTGGACCAAATGACTTCCAATTATATCATGCTTATAGTCAAATCGAGTTACTTGATGAGAAAAATCTAATGAGCCCAAGATCATTCAATTCTAACATCGTTAAGACATTAAAATATTTGATAAACGATATATAACTAAGGGATTAATATAGATCATACCGTGGAGTGCTTTGGATTTTAGTCAAATTTATCAAAATGCCTTCTAAAAATGTTATAAATAGGATATCATTCTTTACATAAGGGGAGGTTCAAAAGTTGAAAGAATTAAAGAACTCACTTGTATTTTTTTCTGATTATCAAAGCTGGTGAACACCACCAACAATCGTCACCACCATCGCCAGACTTTTTTTTAGTATTTAACTTGTTGTTGAGTTTTAATTATTTGCTTGTGGACACTAGACTTTTGCAATCCTTACAATAGAAATAAAAAAAAAGCACTCTAACTATTCCCATATTCTTCAATTGTGAAGGAGTTTTCTATCTTTTGCTAAAAAATGGATTATTGCAACTTGGCCAAGCTATGTAGTTTTTCTCTTTCTTAATTTTCACATAAAAAATTTCTAAGTTTCCTATAACTTTTTATGTGCATGTTAGATTTTTTTTCGCAAGTTTTTCTTTTAAAAATAAAAACAAAGTTATTTTTGAGAATCAATGTTGTAAAATTATTTTTAGGTCACAATCTTTTCAAAAAGGATAATTTTTTTAAAGCATCAATTCACTCCCATATTAGAGAGAATTGGCTTAATCTGTTTTGCATGTGTTTATTCTCTAGGCAAGTTGGTGATCATAGCAAACAACTGCCCTCCTCTTCGTAAATCTGAAATTGAGTACTATGCAATGTTGGGCAAGGTCGGAGTCCACCATTTTAACGGAAGTGAGTTTTACTGAACTCCTTTCTTCTGGATTATTGCATCATAATTATACAATGTAAATAGTGGCTATTATGGACTACTGATAAGGAATTGGGATAAACAAAAGAAGCATCGATAAAAATTATGTGAGAATAGATTTAACAGACTAATTAGTTGGAAGAAAACTTGTTGATCATAATGAACAATTCTTGTTACTCTATAGAAAACTATACAGTTTCAACTATTTCTATCATGTAACATCAAATTTACCCAAAAACAGATAATGTTGATTTGGGAACTGCTTGTGGCAAATATTTTCGGGTGTGCTGCCTTAGCATCATTGATCCAGGTTGGTATCCCTCTGTATGATAACACAATACGCGATTTTATATTGTATTATTTTTTTTTGGAGAGTTTATTTTTGGATTTTAAATTGCCCTGTGCCCCTTCAGGTGACTCTGACATCATCAAGAGCATACCTGGTGACCAGTGATCATGTGAAAGGAAAGCATTTAAGGTGATAATGAATTAGACTTTTTTTATAAAAAATTATGTTAGAAAGTAGTAAGAAAGTTGTCTCAAACGAAGCCTAAATAGAGCTCATGTTTTGGTATGATTTTTTGAGGATGTTAGACATTTGTTCTAGAGTAATTCTTAGAAAAATTTAGGATAATATTTAATGATTTTTGTGATAGAAAATAGAAATATTATCTTTGTAATTATTTATAGCTAGTGCATTGAAATATGTTGGTATATTTAGTATATTCCTAATGGAGATGCCAGTAATATAAATAGTTGTGATTTCTTTGAATATTATCAAGCAAAGTGAAAAATAAAATAAGCAGTCTCTATCATCAAAATATATTTTATCCGCTTAGTCTTGTTTAGTTTTAAAATCTTTCCTTTTCTAACAAAGTGGTGTTAGGGCCCAAAGGTTTCTTTTTATAGAATGATGAAAGATGGTATGGTATGGAATGGCAATAGGGTGGTCTAGCTGGTTTGCGGGTAGCGGGTTGGAATGAAAAATGCTAAATTTTGTTTAAAATTTCCGGATGTTTTTTTTTTAGTAATTATTTTTTGATGCATGTTTTACAAGTGAAAATCTTTTCGTTAGAAATTTGATGATTTCTGATGAAAAATTTCATCGAAAATCAACCATTTTGCTGTAGTGCATATTCCTAGTGTTTGATGAATCGGTGAGCGACTGTGTCTTTGAGAGGTGAATCAAAGATAGAAGTACGAGGCAAAGATAATGTTCTTATTTGCTTGAAATACGTGAATCATCAATTCATTTTCATTATTTATCTTGACCAAATATAAAGAGTAATATCTTAAATTTATGACAACTTTTGGAGAAATGATATGAGATGCACTTAAGAAAAAAATTCTTTTCCTTAAAATATAATACTGCCAACTTAATTGCTAAGGTGTTAATGCCAAAGAATAGAATTTTCTTATTAACTATTCAAAATGATATTGCTAAGTATTTTAAAGCTTGTTATAATGTTGTTTCTTGGTTTTTACATATTCAGTTTGGGCATCTTAATTTCATAGGACTTGACTTGAGTTGCTTTCTAAGAAGAATATCATAATTGGACTATTTTGCTTCAGACGCCCTTATCAATTATAGGAAACATGTCTATTCGGGAAGCATTTTAGGGAAAGCTTTCTAACTAAGTTAAGTTTAAGAACTCTAAAGCTACTTAAGCTCATGCATACATATGCTTGTGCTCTAATAATGCTAAGCTCGGTAAGAGTAATTATTTCCATGTCTCCATAGCTTTTTTTTTTTCATGAAAAATATGAGTGCATTTTTGAAGCAAAAATCAGTGGTTTTTGGAATATTTAAAAAATTTTAGGAAACCATGAAGAATGAAAGTGGGCTTAAGAATAAAGCTATACGATCTTATCAAGGAGGAGAATTCGCTTGAAAAAATTTCAAGAATTTTGAGAAGCTAACGAAACACTTTAATCTCTAATTTCTCAGAGATTCCTTTAGTAAAGTAGAGTAGCAAAAATGAAGAATGGAACAATCCTTCACATAGCAAGGAGCATGCTTAAAAGCAAGAGATTGTCAAAAGAATTTTGGGTTGAAGCAGATGCAAATACAGTTTGTTTGACCAGCTAATCACAAACAAAAAGTTTATAGAGAAAGACATCACAAGAACTATGGAGCGGAAGGAAGCCTAACGAGTATCATATAAAAGATTTTGGAAGTATAGCTCATGTGTATGTGCCGAACAAGAGAAGAAGTTGCTAGATGACAAGATTTAGATGTTCATTTTCATTGTTTATGACCCAAACTGAAAAGACTACAAGCTATTACAATTCAAATACTAGGAAGACAATCATTAGACTACATGTCATATTTGATGAAGGATGTGACTCGGGATCACAGGATGAAAACTACAACTTTGAAGAAGAAGAAGATTACATGAAGTAAATTAGGATAAAACAAGTAAGAGAGGAACTTATTGGTGTGAAACCTACAACAGAAGCCTTCATGAGAACACAACTGCTGAAGACCTAAACAAGAAGAACAATGCATTGGCAATAGAATATAAAAGTATTGTGTATATTTTCCTCTGTTTGCATCGTTTGTGGAGGTCTGCTGCCTATTTGATGTGAAACAAACATGCAATGGAGGAGTTACTTTAAGAAATTAAAGAGATCCATTGGAACTTAATAACCCAAAATAAAACTATCATTTATAATAAACTATTACAAGAGAAGGACCATATAAATAGGCCTCACAATGATAAATAAAAAGCAAAAGACTAAAATGCCCCTTGGGCTACAATAGCGACCAAATACCCATAAGGGCAAAACGGAAAAACATAAAATAAAAATAAACTACTACATAAAATAATGAAAATACAACTCATGCTCGTAACCATCGATCTCCGGCGTCGAAAATGCTGACGATGTCCTCATCACTATTTGTAGTTGGAATTGGGCGTGACTAATTTAGTGGGGACTTCATCAAGTATTGTTAGATATTGATCCGTGAGTGCAGCCGCCGATTTGTTAGAGCATTTAAGTAGAATGACATTATCGTACAAGTGGTTAATTAGGTGCTTTTGTATAAATAATGGCAAATGGACACTTCCCTGTAGAGCGATTGGGCATTCAGTTATATGCAAACTCAACTTGGTAGAGAGAATTCTCTCATTGTTTTGGATGATTCTGAGCCATGCTACTTAGTGTTTGATTAACAACTACTGTTTGGCCATCGGATTGAGGATGATTAGCGGAGCTCAGATTAATTGCTGTGCGAAGGCGGTTCTAGAGTTCTCACCAAAAGTGGCTAACAAATTTTACATCACGGTCAAAAGTAATACTACAAGGGAGATCGTGTAGTTGAACGACATTAAGAATAATCGTGCAATATTGACATCATCAAAGATCTTCTTGCAAGCGATAAAGTGCACCATCTTTGAAAACAGGTCGACTACTACCATGATAGAGTCAACGCCCTTTTGGGTCTGTGGTAAGCCACTACAAAGTCAATACTAATATTTTCGCAAATAAAGTCAGGAATGGGTAAGGGAGTGTAAAGTCCCACATTCTGCTTAGTTCCTTTGAATTCTTGACACAGCGCACCGCTCCATGAATCACGATGCATCTCTATGTAGTTTAGGCAAAAAAAAAAAAAAAAGGCGGCTTCAGCTGAAGGTTCGTCTTCTCACGATGAAGATGGGCTACAAGACATCCAATGTGATCCTCCTTTATAAGCTGCTGTCTATAGGAGGAATCGGGTATACACATAGCATTTCCCTTGAAGAGGAAGCCACAATGAACAGAGAAATATGATATTGGTTGCATCGAGGCACACTAGGTCCAAATCGAGGTACACTAAGACCATTGAAACTTCTGACATCAAACAGGGTTTGAGGAATCTGCCAGTCCCGAATTGCAACAATTTTATTTGGGTTGGTGGTCACACCCTCCGTCTGCACAGTGAAGCCTAAGAAATATGCTTGGGTCATGGAAATTTCACATTTAAAAATATTTAGATATAGCTTATGTGTCCGTAGAGTTTGCAATACCAAGGTAAGATGTTTCAAATGCTCCGAAAAAGATTTATTATAAATCAAAATATCATCAAAGTAAACGACACAAAATTGATTGAGATAATCTTTGAGTACCTCGTTCATCAAGTGCATGAAGGTGGCGGGGTATTACACAACTTGAACGTCATTACCCACCATTTGAATAGACCTTTGTGGGTTTTGAACGCAGTTTTCTACTCATCGCCGGGCCAAATGCGGATATGGTGGTATCCACTACGAAGGTCAAGCTTGGAAAAGAATTATGAACCGGAGAGCTTGTCTTGCAGATCTTCAATTTGAAGCATAGGGAACCAGAACTTGGTTGTAATTTTTTTATAGCCCTACTATTAATGCACATCCGCCATTTGTTATCTTTTTTTTGAAACTATTAGTGACGGGACGACACAAGGGCTGAGGCTTGGCTGAATCAGTTTTTGTCTCAATGAGACTTCCACCATCTCCTAAAGGATTTTTTGTTCCTTTGAACTCATTTTATTGTGCAAAAAATTGGGCAAATTTTCTCCTAGGGTTAAATCAATTTGGTTCTGAATCATCCTCATGGGCGGAAGCTCTCGTGGGAGCTCATTAGGCATAAGATCTTTAAACTCTTGAAGCAGCTCTTGCACTTGCGGAGAAGTCGGTCCCTGATTGTTGCTAAGGGGGTTCTCCATTACTACTAATGCATAAACACAATTGTTGTTCTTATCGGCAAGCAAGGTTTATCCCGAAACAATACTAAGGACAGCTTTGTCCTTGTTTTGATTTTCAATGGCTCCAGTTATATGTTCGGTAGTAGCTGAAGTCTCCTTCCCTTCTAGAAGAAAGAGTATGTGTTTTGGCGGCAGTCATATATGGCCCTATTGGCATATTGCCATGGGCGACCCAAAATAATATGACAGACATCAATGTCAAGGACGTCATAGAGAACTTCGCAAGTGTATTGTTTCCCTATAGAGATGTTAATTCTGCACATGTCACCAAAATGCCCATCCCCTTCTTGACCCATGTGGGCTCCGAAAATTCGGCCCCGGCCTCCGCGCGCTCTTCTTCTTATTTCGGCGAGGGAGTTTTAACGGACTAAGTTCCGGGGTAAATTTTGGAAGGCAGATGGGTTTGTAGATAAGACACTACCCAGAGATTTCGCCCTCATTTTGCGAGGACTTTATGATCTGAGTTCTGGTTTCCTATAGGCGCAAGCCCCTATAGTTAATTACCCCTCCCGATTACGAGAGAGAACTTTCGATTAAGGCTAGTCATCGATCAGATACGTAGAGATACGAGTTATCTGGCATATAGTAGCAGCAATAGGTTTAGGTATTTGAAAATTGGGTTTTGATTTGGGTACTTGAGAACTGGATTTGGATTTGGGAATTTGGAGAATTTGATATTTAAAGTAGAAATTTCACCATCTCTCACTTAAAGCGGATGGTGGGGGAATGGATGATGGACCCGATCAAGATCCCAT